AGCCTGGTTGTGTGAGAATGCTTCAGAACTGAGAGTTGGACATCGTGGACTTGACAATTGAAATCTCTGTTGCCCAGGGTGTCTGGGGAGCTGCCTGTGCTACAATGTTGCCTGTTTCAATTTACTCTCCTGATGTGTTAATTGCTGCGACCTGCCGGCAATTAGCTTGTGGTTTGCCTTGTTTCCCTTCCCTGACTATGCCTGAGGCAGTGAAATTGATTAGCGCTGGTGAAACTGAACAGTGGCGCTGGCTGTACTAGGCTGAATCTGACATTCTAGAGGTGGAAGTGGATCCTCCATCCCTTTCTATACCAGCTCCTAACCCCATGCTAGGGCCACCATGTCTGGACTGCAAAAATGCTGGATGACCACTAGACATAGTAGCAAAGCAATACAGGAAACTCTTTGCTATTGTCTAGCAGTCATTGATTTTTGCAGCCTCACCATGCGTAATCACATTTGTTGAAGGCATGGGGCAAGGAGTTGGAAGCAGGGGAAGCTTGGTGGGGCATCTGTGCCTGTAGGTCCCAATGCAGCTGTTTACCCTGTTTTCACTATATTTATGCCACCATGTGCCAAATGAAGATAGCGTTCAAATTCAGACTCAAAATAATGGTTTACTGTTTTTTTGTTTTCCATTGCTAGAAGCAAGACATTTTCTGTCCCTGTACTGTGATTGTTTGAACTCTGCCATATGCAGTGTTGTTTTCTAGTTTTTAAAAATATATTTATTTCAGCCCAGGATTTCTTGAATAGGAATCTGTCCTCGACCAATTCCAAATGGAGTTCAGCATCATCACCAAAGACATATCTCTCAGAGACATAGCTGAAAGAAGGTGTCTTCCATCTAATCATGTGATCAAAGTAATAAGAAAGATCCAAACTACCAAAGAAATAAGATACATTCAAGGTTAGTTAACAAACAAATGCAAAATTATGACATAAAACTCAGGATGTAAATGTAGTACACTTTAATAAAAAAAAAAACTTAAATCTATTTAATCTGCCATGATTATGAAACACTGTTTAATTTTTATGTGATGGTATCATATATCCTAAATCCATATCCACAGTTCCCAATTTAAATTCTTGATAGTAACATTGGCTGGAATTAAGGACTTGAGATAGAGGTTTATCTATCTAAAAGTACAAAAAAGAAGGAAATATAAAAGACTAAAAGAAAAAGTGGAGGATAACGAAAGAAAGAAAGAAAGATATCTAAAGAAGTTACTTTCAATCTTCTTTGCAGCAGTTACAAACATAGTCATTACCATCTCCACCATCACAGATTACATATCATGGTTCCCTTCTTCCCATAAACAAACCTTTTAAATCAATAAATCCTGAAACCACCAATTCATTTTTATCCATTTTCAGCAAAAAGTCCATATAGGGTTTCCAATCTTTGTAAAAGTAGTTGCTGTTCGTTCCTTAATCAAACAAATCAATTTAGCCATCTCTGCAAGCTCTGCCATCTTCACGATCCATTCCTCCATTATAGGTATTTCTGTATTCTTGCATCTTTATCCATTAGCCATTGATGAGCTGCAGCAGAAGCTAAGTGGTTCTGGAGTTAGAGCTATATAAGTCTTGTCTTGGGAGTAGACTACTGGAATAATATCTATATCCTTGTTGGTCAGTTCTTGAGGTATAGATCAGTACTTCTGACCTTTTGGGATATGACTTATGTTCACAGATTGGCTCGGTTCCTAATTTCTGCCATATTTTTCTTACTGATTTTTGGACTATCTCCTAGTATTACCTCTGCTGTATTACCCTCTTATCACTGCCTGTAGATATATGGACTTTTATTTATGCCCCTGATTTTATTCACTTGAGAAGGACAGTTTTTCAGGTGAAACATGCATGGAATGTGTTATGTCCACATTGTTCTTCTGCAAAAAAAAAAAAAAAATCTAAATCTGCCTTCATAACCAATCTGTGTGGGCCTTTGTTATATAAATATATAAAATTTTAACAGCATGAAAGCGCAGTGAGGTTTTGCCTCCAGGTTTTGCCTCCAGTCATTGCAAATGCAAACAGATCAAGGCAACTGATTGCAGTGATGCTCAAAAAAATTTCATTGTATGTATTCAACTGGGGATCACACCTGTCACTGACACGCTGAATGTAATAAATCCGAAAAAAATGGTGAGGAAGGAAACAAAGAATTATGACCATTACAAAACCCAGGCTTTTCAGCTGGGCCCGTAACTCCTGATGTGACCAAACAGGTCCTGAAAGTTTTTTCACCACTTTGAGAACCATGAAAATGTGAAGGCCCAATAGGATGCCAGTCACAGCAACCATTAAAATGATTAGAGTATAATTAACTGTTTTCACGGAATCTTTCTCAAACTCTTGCTGAAACTCAAAACATGTATTATTCTCATATTTGCCTGTGTTCCCATACCAAAAAAACATTACAGGCAACCCAGTAGAAATACCCAAAACCCAAACAGCTGTACTCGTTGCAACAGCATGCAAATTCCGATAGAATTCCACCTTATCCTTCCTCTGAAAGAAAACAAAGCATCGGGTTACTAGGATAAACACATAGAATAAAAAGGTGAGATACATATGAAAGTGCACCATGACACTCACAAATTTACAAAATAACTGACCAAAGATCCAGTTCTTTCTGAAGTAATAATACAATCGAAAAGGAATAGTCCCAAGGAAAAGGGTGTGTATTGCTACCAGGTTTATGATTGCAGTTGTGGTCACTGACAGTGTATTCATTTTCACTAGCAAAAATGACATATGGATGACTCCACACACGCCTCCAGTTAAGACCACTATATATATTGTGATCAAAATAACATTCCACATATCAGTGTCTGTTCAATGAGATGATTCAGTTAAGAAGGTTCCAAAACTGAGTGAACAAGGGTTTCCTTCCCTTTAGTCTTGGTTCTAGGATCTTCTTTTGTCATCCCCTAGGAGGAAAAAAAAATACCAAGTTCATTAAAGTTTTCAGAAATATTCTGAAAATATTTCAGAAATATTCTGAAAATATGGATCTAAAAGTTTCTGTATTCCTTTTTTATTAAAAGCAAATTAGGAGAACTGTCCCATTATGGCTAGCTGTACTTTCTGTATAATTGAACGTGAACATTAACCAAAATGCAAAGTGTTACACTGGATACTACTGTAGAAAAAAATAATAATTGTAATCTCTCAACTGAATGCAGGATTAAAGGGAGTTAAGCCATCAAGTGATAAAATAACCTCTGGATTATATACTGTACAAAAAATGCTTTCTTAGTTACACCTATGTCTATGGGATTAGTTTAAATATACCTTTTTAATGCAAATGATAAAACGCTGAAGCAACCTGCAGCCTGTGGGATTCCTTCGAAGTTGGTATTTTCTGTTGTACATATGTATTTTATAATAGAACCCCCGCCCCCCAAAAAGAGTAAAAAAGTCAGGTAACCTAGCAGGCAGATATCAAATACACCAAATCTTTAAAAATGTATACCAAAATGCCTTTCAAAAACCACCTTAAAATTCTAACTTGCCTCTAGATCAGTGTTTCAATTTGGCACTGTTAAGATGTGTGGACTTCAACTCCCAGAATTTCCCAGCCACTATTTCACCTTTCTCAAACAAGCAAATTATTTTAAAAAATGAGGCCATGGGCTGTTGAAATAAGAGAAAGGAAAGGAAGTTTATAATCCAGAAGATTTGATAACAGACTTTAAAGAAGTTGGGCATTATTTAAGTAATTTTTTCCCTAAAGTATGAAATAAATAAAATCTATTTAGAATGTTGGCTATGCTACTTTCAGATATATATGGCAACTATTGTTTTAAGTCACTGTTTTAATTATTATCAATTATGCTTTTAGGAAGCAATTTGATTTAATGAAATTTTATACCTGGAAAACAGTGAAAGTTAAACCACTCTGAATGAATAAACTTTTTATTACAGCTAAAGATACTTAAGATACTCTACAAGAACTAGAAAATTCAGTTAGTATAATACTGCAATACCTAGTAAGTCAGTGTTGTCCAAACTTGGCCACTTTAAGATGAGTGGACTTCAACTCCCAGA